TTAAATAATGATGCGTATCAGACATTAAATTCTCTACCTATACGTGCAACCTAACAAATAATCACTAGTATCAATATGATGAGACACGCATTGATGTATCAAGATCATTGAATTTAGTCCTTAATGGGGCTTATTATAGTAATCAGGTATGCGAATGGATAAAAACTTCCCATTTCAGGGATTAAAATAGACATGAATTTCGAGTACTGTTCAATTATTACCTGTTTAAGAGATTTACAAGCAAGAAGAAAATGATAAGGAAGAAACTAAGAATAACTTTTTGATAGTTGACAATTATATGTATATACTTTTCAAATAACAATTTGGGAAATCTTATAATGAACAGATAGAAAAGTTTTAACAAAAAAAAAAAAAGAGTTAGCATCTAACAAAATAATTAATAGTTAACTGCACGGTCACTACTTTCCTAATTTACCTGAAGATGAATAATCATTTCCTGAAGAAAATAACGAATTTTTTGAGGTTCCATCATCATCGGAATCAACACAATCAGAAAACTGGCTACGCTTTGAGCTGTTTAAGCTTTTCAAGTGTATCAATTCTCCTTCTAAATCTTGAATTTTTAACACATAAGTTTTTATCAAATCAAAATCCTGCAATAATGCAAAAGCTCAAGTCAACCAAAGATCATGTTCATCAACTTCAAGATTCAATAGCTAAGCATAGATCTTACCTGATTTTGATTAGAATCAATCTCATCCCATGATTTACCATTACGAACTGATTCAATTTGCATTATCAGTTTATCTTTCTCGACCTGAAATATTAAATATACATGAGATTTCATAGTGCCTTTGACCAGCTACACAAGCACAGAATGGAAAGGGGAATTTTATAACAACCTGTACAATTTAAGACAAAAAAAGAAAAGGGAAAACACCTGAGCATCAAGTGCACGTTGGGCTAATTGTTCACTTGTGAGTCTACGTTCTTGAAGCTCTCGTTGTAGCTCTGCATTGCTTGCTTCAAGTAAAGATACTTTATGCTTGAGAATCTGAAAAAAAAAAAAAAAGAAAACCACTTACTTTAAGCTACTAGGTTAAGAAAGTCAAGAGAAGTGTTTGCATTTTCTATATAAAAATTAACCTGAAGTTCATCAAATGATGCATTGCCATCACCACGATAAAACAAAAGTTCAGCTTGCAATTGCTCAATTTGGCTTCGCATTCTTTGCAACTGAGCTGCCATTGGATCGCGGTTTATCTAATCACATATAAGAGATGAGATAGTTAGAATAAGAATTATAATGCCAGCAAGGAACTTTTCTTCTTGCAAGTATGATACACAAGTATCTTACAACTGCCTTATTCTGAATGTTTCGAGCACGATTGGCATACTTCAAGGTGTTCAGGGTTTCTTCAGCATTAGTGTCAGCCGGACTAACACAAGCTACAATCAAATATAGAAAAACAAAACTTATGCTTACAAAAGAAATTCAAAGAAAAAACCTGGGTACTAGTAATATAACAATAGTGACAACTATTTAATGCTCTTAAATGTATAACAGCATACCTATCATCACTGTTTTGCTGTTTCCACCGAGAGAATCCTGAGAAATTAAATTTCCATCAGCAAATGTAAAATTTCTTTGTAAACCAAGTAAGAAGACCATATTCATATTTTTTTATGGTCAGAGCAAATTTAATTCCAAAACATGGAGAATTATAGCAAATACTTTCAAAACTAATCACACTTTTCAGATCCAAAGAAACACAAATATCACCACAACCAAGTAAAAGCCTTAGAAAATAAAACTGAACATATTCTCCATTTGCTTGATGTAAGAAACATCCATTTTCTAGCCATTTATTTTTTACAATATAAAATGTGACGATACTAATGAACGCACTTTCGATTGGTTTAGTGTGCTTAACAAATAGTCTCTGCATCACACACTTATTAAATATTTTAATGCATTAAACCTAAGACTAGTTGACACCTGATAGATGGCAATTTGATTTAGCTGTTCAGTTTTTCTAAACAAACTGTTGAAATGATTGTTCATTTCAATAGAGTGAAAGCATCCAATTAAAAAAAACTAGTTGAAATGATTGTTCATAAATATCCAGAATATCACTATTTAAAACAAATTGTAGACATTAGAATAAAAAATCAAAACATGCCTGTAACAAGCGCGTCAACTTGCTATCACGATAAGGGACATGTCCCCCTTCTTTCCTCTTCTTCTCATCTCCCAAGGCACTAATCACATTTCCTAGAGCCAGTAAACCTTTATTGATATGAATGCCTGCAACAACAAAATGTCAAAATTTTAGATAACATAAAGCACAAAGTTTCATGTTGTGGCTTACTATTAGAACCTATCACTACTTATTTTAAGACATGAACATTTGGAAAATGGAAAATCATAAATACCTTCTTTTAAGCGCATGCCATCAGCACCCGTTCTTTTTGCACGTTCTGAGCCAGCAAGGTCCACTAAATGAAGCTTTGCACATAAGATATCATCACCAATATCATCATTTACTCCATTTGGGCAGTTAGCAATCTTCTTTTGCTCCATTGTTATTGTAAAGATGGCATGTGAGCGACTGGAAACAATATAACGAGCATTGCACTTGACATAAGCATAAATTTACAAATATAAGAGAATTACAATGATAAATACTTTATGATTATGTAAACTTTATAAATCTAACACATAGAACATGTAAACAATAGAATCATTCTGTCCTTTTCCAAAAATAAGTAAAGCAAGATAAAAGCCAATTGCAGAACTTTGTATCCTTTATTATTTAAAAATGCTATTATAACAAATGAACATAATGTTTTAAATAAAAAAGAATATTAATTCTGGTAAAACAAAAGGCAAAAGACTACTAAAACATATAGCTTCATAACGCTCACCTTGATTGGCTATTCATATTTGTACTTCCTGTAGCACGAGATAAAGAACCTCTTGACAAGTACGACGCCATCTCTTCTTTCGTCCGAACTTCTGCCTCAGTCACCCCAGCAAGTGTTATCCCTCCGTTCACTGTTTCCCTAATTTGTATGGGAAGTCTCCCAGGAGCTGTAGTCTTTGCAAGAGACACCCCATCAACTTTAGGCAAGGCAACTGAATTTGAGTCAAGTAAGTCGAACACTTCTTCCTTAAATATCTGTCAATTCCAAAGATCATATATAAGCACATTACCTGATCACTAAGAAAAATAAGCAAAAGAATTACTTTTAGCCAACTACCTCAATAAATGATACTCGTATCAAAAATTCCGTGGTGTGTTTCGTTGCCTCAACTCTTCTAAATATAGTTTCCACAACATTGGGTATAATCCCACCACTACTTCCTTCCCCTGTATAGTTGGTTCCCATAGTATATGTTTTACCAGATCCCGTCTAAAAAACCCCAGAAATTCAATATCATGGTTAGTCAAATCATAAAATTTTATGGAAACAAAAAGGCAAAATAATAATAATATAAAAAACCTTCATTAGAATAAAATGAAACTAACCTGACCATACGCAAGTACAGTAGCATTATAACCACGAAAAAGTGCATCAACAAGAGGAGCAACACAATCATCATAAATAGTTGAAGAAGGCGATCCCGCTCCGCCATAAACGTAATCATAGGTAAAGGCATGAGATCCAATTTGAACCTATAATTGTAAAAATTAAAAAAAAAAAAAAGAAACTATTAAGTTAAGATTTCAACATCTATATTCATTACAAAATCAATATATTCACGGGTAAAAATGTTATAGAATTAAAACCTGAGGTTCGCCGGGAACGACAGTAATGCAATCTGTACATCCATTGAGAAGCTCTGTAGTAATTAGTGGGCGAATATTAACGGCAACTCTCACGGATTCCGAATTCTCCATCTCGTTATCCAAATCTAAAAACTATACCTTAAAAACCCTAAATCAAAAAAAGGGAAAATCAAACCGTTAAAAATCTTTTGAGTCACTCAAAATCAAATGCATCAGATATGAAATCCGTTAGCTGAGGAGATTATACGACAAAAAAAATACGGAGAGAAAATATTGATTTGATAGGAGAATACAATACCTGAACGAGATGGAGTTTTTTTTTTTTTTTTTGGATTCTTAGACGTTAGAATTTGAATTTTAGAAAAGACAAAAAGAGGGGACGGGGAATTTGAACGATGGAGGCGGATGGGGCAATTAACAATTGAACTGGATTTAAGAAAAGGCGCTTGGTTCCGAATTCAAAATGTTGATCAGAGAGGTGGGATCACGTGACTTTCACGTGTTTGTAAATAGGGCAAAGCAACGTCTGAATGTGGATCCGCATTTCAAACAGGCTTGGCTTAAAATTGGGCGGTAGTCCTTGTAGGAGTGGTTTTAGCTTGGCCCTTGGTCTAATCCTAATCCTAACTGATTTTTCCTATATTTGAAATCATTGATTAATACTAATAAATGTTTTTTTTATAAAAACTAAATAAATATATAAATGAGAAATTTTGAGTAAAATTTTTTTTTATGTATTTCACTATTTATTTTGTTTGATCTCCTTTTTTTTTCCATTGTTTGGTGGATTTTTTAAATTCTATAAAATAAATTTAAGATTTAAGATAATTAATTCCATGAAAATTACTAATACTAATATTAAACTTCAATTCTATTTGTTCTACTTTCTCATCAAGAATGTTTAGCTTCATAATAACAAAAATTTGATGATAACAAAAATGTCGATCAAAATTCAATCTTTGTAGAGAATATTTTGAAAGTAAAACCCTTGATGCATTAAATCGATGTTAGAAAATGCGCTCTTAAAATCACATGAAAAAAAATTAAGCTCAAATAAAACTTGACAATGGCTAACAATGTTATAATAAAATATATAAAAATTTGTGTAAAGTCGCAGGGTCTGAAGCTGGCAGATACAGGGAAGACACAGATCATTAGCAATCTAAATTTTTGAATTAAGATTATAGTTTGCTAGGCAGGAAATTTCGTTAATTCTTTTATAAGCTATAAAAGCAAGAAATCTATTCAAAACAATTCTCCTACTGCCCCATCCTCGTAGTCTTAAATCAACATACAACCACAACCACTATTCACAGCTTGGCACATAAATACCTAGTGAGATTTGGATTCCTAGCATATAAGGTGTAAGAAAATCCATCCTGTCCTACTTACAAAACAAATGGCCCCTTTGGCAGGCTTCCAATGAGTTCACTTTCTACTCAAGGGAAGGCGTAAGCCGTATCCTTTTTGAAGCTGGTTGTCCAGCTAATTCGGACGTTTGGTCGTCACTGGTTAGTTGCACATCATCACCAATGGTCTCCTTGTTTTGAACAACTTCAGAATCCTGATCCAATTGGTTCACAGCCATACCTGGATTTTGATGCGACTGTACAGTTGAATTATCTTCAGAGGGAAGGTCATCACCAATCATTTTCACATCTTCGCCTATGGAATCACCTCTAGCCTTCTTGTTTTCAACCAATTCAAAATCCTGATCCAAATGGTTCAACACCATACTGGGATTTTGATGTGACGATACAGTTGAATTATCTTCAGATGGAAGGGCATCACCGATCATTTGCACATCATCACCTCTAGCCTCCTTTTCAACCAGTTCAGAATCCAGATCCAACTGGTTCAACATCATAATGGGATTTTGATGCAATGATGCAACTGAATTATCTTGGGATGGAAGGTCACCAATCATTTGCACATCATCAACTCCAGCCTCCTTGTTCTCAACCATTTCAACATTCGTTTCAACAAGTTCAGGATCCTGATCCAATTGGTTCACTGCTCCACCAGGATTTTTATGGAACAATATGGGCAAATTATCTTCGGAAGGAAGGTCTGCATCCTTAGTGCTATTGTGAATCTTGTTAGTGTCCTCAGAAGCTCCAGAAACTTCAGCAATAGAAGTCTCCAGCACCCCAATGGAGGCAGGTGTGAAACCTTTCTTCAGACGCTCAACATTTTCCACCAACTGAGATCGTTCCTGATCTGTATCCAGTTCTTCAATTGGATCTACATTATCCTCAATGGAGTTATTTTCAATGATCCCAACATCATCGTCATCATCACCGTCATCATTATCATCAGAGGCACAAGATGTTTCAAGTGATCCGTCAACTTCATGCTCCCCTTGCATGGAAATTCCAGGATTCCATGAACTGCCCATGACAAAACCTCTCGATGAATATGGAACTTCACAGGCTTCAGGTGTGATTCCAGCAAATTGCGGAAAACCAGTTTCTCCAGAAGCTAAATAAAGAAACTGTTGACCGGTTTGCACATCTTCTTGCTGTAAATAAAACAGTTTTCTCAGTTGAATTTGGAAATAAAAAATTTACTGACATAATAATAAATTCCCAAGAAAACTTAGAACAATGAATATGATATGGCAGGAGAAGTCCCTATATTCCCCATTTCTCAGGTTTGTATGCATGTCTAATACGTGGAAAGAAGGTAGGAAGGAAGTAATTAGCTAGCAATGCACCAAATGCATTTTATGACATAACTGGGCAGACCAAATGATTATCACAAGAATAATGAAATTCAATACCTCTCTTGGTGATATAGCCCCATTCAGATTGTAATATGATGGCTGCTGGCCAAAAGACTGAAATTGTCCAAGCAAAGATCCTGTTGTAACTCCTGGCTCAAAGAACTCCCTAAGAACCAAGCCGGAATCATTAACACTCTCCATATTTCTCATAGAAGATGATGCTAACAAAGTCATTTCAATCCCTCGGCACGCTTGGGAATCTAAATTCCCATGACAAGCTACTTGTGGGCTGAAACTCTCTGAAATAAACTCCACACCATTTTCATTTTCAATCTTTTCAGGAGATTTAGTCGATTGATGTTCATCACTGCAATCAGATGAACTGATTTCCCGAGACCGAATCTCTAGGAGTTCAAAAATTAACTTCTGGATAAGAGTGCGCTTTAGAGATGCCTCAGCAGGTGGAAACCAACCCAAAGTAAGCTGGGAAAGAAAACAAAGGAAAAATAAAATTATAAAACTATGGCTGATTACTTAGAACATACAACAAATAAAAGATTGATCACAAATAGTCATCAGGTTATTCTTAGCTTATCTTAAAGAAACTTTTAACTAGGTGCCTGGTCCTAAGAACAAAGTCCAGAACATTTCCATATTAAAGCATTTACCCTTCAATTCAAAACCTTAGATCACTTCAATTGCGAACAGGATGAATAAGGAATAGAAAATAAAAAATGTACAAATTTATTAAAATTATACAATAAATATATATTAAAGAAAAAAAAGATGGTGCTTGGATGAGCCCTTCATATTAGACAATTACAAACTTAAGCATCAATTTCACTATGAACCAAAATAACAGTGCAGGCCACTTACAAAGTTAGAGAACTTGGTTATTTTGAATGGATTGAAGTTAGGAGGGGCTTCAGCTAAAAAGAGCTCCAGATAGTGGAGTAAGAACAGACCGCAATCAAATGAATTCTCCTGCTGTGGCAGCTGATAATAAATAAACAAAATGAAAGAAAAATGGATTACATACATATGCCATGAGAGAGATGGTCACTAAGCAAATCATAAAGTGTAAACTAACAACAGAATTATGAAGCTATAATGCAGGGCAAATTTAGTTTCTTTATCTTCCTTTTCTCTTTTCAACTTTGCAATCCCCAAATGAATAAAGAATAGTCAGTTCTCTAAGTTGCATACAAGCACACATACAAAAATGTCAAAAAAAGAAAACAAAAACAAACATAATCTACATAAATGCCCAGAGAGACAACTGACAAACACAATCACACAAAAAAAAAAAGAAAGGCAAAAGATGTAAAGCATAACAAGACTGCGTCCTCGTATATAAGTACAGATATCTTTATTGCAATTTCACCACTTCCCTAGTGAAAAACAGCTTTGTTCTTTGGAAGCTGCATATTTAGAGTAAAATCATTATATTGCAAATAAATACTCTAAATTCAACATGATATTGAGAAAGTGGAGGAAGGATGGCTAAAGTACGTCTCTCTGAATGCTAGACAAACGCAGCGAAAGTAAAAGATAGTGGCAACCCCAAGAGCTCCCACAAAACATGATTATTAGATAAATTCAATGCACAGAATCAAATGGGACAAGAAACCATAATATTTAGACCAGTTCTCACTGCTCCTTACCTCCCCAGGCAGGTGCAAGAAGTTGTTAAGGAAATTCTTATTCCAAAAGTGTACCCTAAAATAGCTAAATAGTAAACTAAGATTAGCAGTACCTCGAGTGAGACAAACCGCAGATTCAAGAATTTTGAAGAAAGATCTTCAGATGTCTCCTTGTGCCTCTCTTTCCACTCTTCCCATAGGTAACTATCATTTTCAGGGACAAAAGTCATGTCAAGAACTAACAAGATCTAGCATTCAAAAAATCATACTAGCTAATTACAGAGAAAAAAAAAATTGCAAAAGTGATCAAGTTTGAAATTAAAGATGTAGAAAAAAAAAATTCATCATGATAGATGGGAAGAAATTCTTCAATAAAACTGTGTATGATCAAATTGGAGAAAAGGGAAAAAATATATAGATCAATTCTTAAAAGCACCATGTGAGACCAGTAAATATGAAGAAGGTTTGGACCCCTTTCGTTCACAGGCTACCTTTTGCTGCAATTTAAAGCATGTTAGTCATTTATGAAGTCATCTCTTTTTTTTTCCTTTTTGGCTACTTTATAAAGTAAAATTTTGGATATACTGAAGCTTGATACTTTATTTAAACAATGAATAACTTAGCAATGAAGTGATTCAGGAATTCATGCAACTTCAAGAGAGGCTTTTGAAGCTATAAATGCTTGACTATCAGGAAGGGAGGAAAAGAACTCCAGCCTGCTGACCTAATGCAAATTCCACAACTCAGACCAGAAGTGATAATTATAATGGCAACAAAGTCGGTCATGAATTTGATTACAATATTGTATAAAATACTGTTTTACATTCCAAACAGACCAGGAAAAACAAAGATTCAAGCATCTAAATCTCAATATATCTAAGCACTGTTGGTTGAGGGATTTTTCCTTTTTTTTTTCTTTTTCTTTTGTGGGGTGGGGGAGAGAGAGAATAAAAAAAATGATTATCTATGAATATTCTAAAACACAAGTCTGTTGTTCACACTCAAGTGTTGACTAACACCATATGCAGCACTTTGCTAGTAGGAACTTCATGTTTCATATAGATATAAGCAAAGGTATATATTCATGCATAAGTAAAAATGGGTTCAGATCTGGTTCTGTCTCAAAAGGTTATGATATCTAGAATGTTTCAACAGAAACATGCAGAAATTTTATCAAGCTCTAATTCATTTTTAACACTACAAAGGAAAGTTTAAGAATTCCACTAACAATGAATGGTTAATGGCTCATAAAGTCACATCTGGGCATATAATTTCCCTAACAGCAAACTCAAGGGAAAGAAACAAAATATCACATACATACCTAGACGTCCAAAATCTTGTACAATGTGTGAGAATGATTCAGTGAGAGTGAAAAACTAGTTACTTTCATTACTACTACTACATATATGATTAAAGGCACCCTAATCCTTTTCATTCACAATCCCAACTTTAAAAATTGTATGTTCTGTGGCAAACTCCCAAGGACCGTAGTGCATAATACTGAAGTTTCAACATAATCCTAGAGAAACTTATGAAATTCAGTTTGCCTAAATTCTGATTAACTAATAGCAAATGTTGTTCAAAATAAACATCTTAGCCATAGCAAAGACATGATATGACTGTTTAATAGATGAAAAGCAAAAGTTCTTATATGTAATCCAGAAAAAATTTTCAGTACTTGCCACTTAGAAGCCCAACCATGCATCACTAAAACCATCAAAAACTAACAAGGGAAACTTGCATGTCTGCATATCTATGAAGTCAAATATATGAACCGTAAAAGCTTTAGGATACCTTTGGACAAGATTTTTGAGACCTGCATGATTTCCTCTGATAGAATCCATATGCAGTATGCATGGTACTTTGGATGACTGGTCCAACTCTTCATCTGAAAAATGATAAATATGCATGAATGAAGGGTAGATTTCCCAAAAGACATTGTACTGTCAAACAATAATATACCTTTAAAACCAGCCACTTCACCAGGATGACATATGACTATCAAACTCCAATGAAGGCTGTTAGTAATATGCATATACATTTTATATTAGCTCATAATTTTTTAAACGTAATCTCTTAAAAGAAATTAATAATTCTGTTGGACAAATTTCGTACTTGAAATTTACAGGAATAAAGATGTAATCTTTTCCAAACATATCGAATTTCTTTGTCCATTTATGAACACGGAGGAAAGCTGCCTTGCCATCTGAAATACTGGATGGATCTTTGTCAAGATCAGCAAGTTTCCGAAAGAAAAAACTGTTAAAAAAATGCAATCTCTGACTTTCCTCTGGTTGAATCTGATTCTTCAGATACCTATTAAAAAATTTTGGTGTAAAGGTCCTCCAGTAGCACTAGATAGGTATGCTGAACTCTTGATTTATGTTCCAAACTAGAATCTGCAGTTAAAAAATAAAGACATATGTAATGATAAAAGAATTACATAGATCTTACTTGATGTAGAAGTCAATGATCGTATCATTGATGAATGTCTCTGGTTGTAAAAGATCAACATCTCTCTTGCTAATGGAAACTGCATCAAAATCGCCTTTTGGATATATAACCTCCTTAAAAGGCTCATCAAAACTGCAAACCCCGGTTTTGTAAGTATAAATTAAACAGAACTTGATAACATAAGCAGGAGTAGATGATACCTAACAGGAACAAGAAATAAGGGAATACACGGGAAACATTAAAGAAAACCAGAGTTTTAAACTTTTTTTTGGGGGGGGGGTGGGGAATGCAGTTACTTACTTGGCAAAATAAGACTTTTGTACAAGTGAATCATCTCCATCTATTCCTGTAAGTGGACTGCAAGCATATGCAGCATTAAAAGAAAAAGGAATATCTTAGCCTTGCTCTAGATTTAACAAAATAATATCATGACAGGCATGCAAATGCCTTTTAAAGGCAACATAAAATTCCACAAGTAAATCAACATAGCTGGACAATTACTGTTGAATGATGATTTTGAAAAGAAACATTTATTTAGAAGCTTACTCAAGCACAATATTCCATATGGCCAGGTATTTAGAATTTAATGAAGTGATTGCTTCCTGTTTCTCAGACCATCTGGGGTCAAGAACCGCAAACTTTAACTCCTCAACGACTGGAAGAAATATACATGAGCAAATAAAGTCAGATAAAATGAAGAAAAAATAAAGCATAGGCCTGAACTTTAAACAAGGAAAAACAATTGAACTAGGTTCCAATCAAATTCTCAAAATTTTCTTCATCTCATATAGACAAAAAAATTGACCTAAGAAGGTAAGAAACAAACCATACAAGCATGATAAGTGTCTTCATTATGTTTAATAAGCAATGATTAGTTATGTTCATGTTTTCTAGGCAAAATAACAAATTTATTAACAACATTTTTTCCAGTACAGGACATCATGGACATACAGATTATGAGAAATTAGTTCTAGCAGTGTTATGTTCATATCACACTTTATGGAGATTCTCCAAGTTCTTCCATTCCTAACTTCTGATGAAAATAAAAGATATAGATCCTTAGCTCACACAGGCACAGGCAATACAGTTGTTTAAGGCCACTGACCTGCAGGACCACATGCATTCTCAGCCTCTACTGCAACCTTTGTTAGTACTTTCAGATTGACTGTCACATATCCAACCTAAGATGCAGTTCAAACAAAAAACTGTATAGTGTTAAAACCAAGAAAATGCTGCCAGTAACTCCAAATATTGCCATTAAGGACTCACCCTTTCAAACCCCTGACTATCAATATTAATAATATCATCAATTCCCCTTTCGAAACTAAAGGCCCCTCGGTGTTCACTCACAATTGACCCCTCAATTTTGATGCCACTAGGAGAGAAAATGACTGACGCCCCTGTGTAATAATTATCTTGATATAGAACATAATCAGAACATATAATAATTGTCCTGTCTATGTTATCCTGCAAAGTTCACAAAAAAGATAGTCAAAACAAATCTAAAAAGCTATCAGAAGATACACAGCAGGCACTAATTAGTATAGATCTTATTGGCAAATAATTTTCCCTAAAACTGTTTTTAAGTTTAATTGACAAAAATTCCCAAGACATCTAGCTAAAGACCAGTATCTTCTTCTTCTTTTTCAAGTACACATGGATGTTAAAGTTAATTGGACTTTTGGGTTACACAAAGAAAGTATTTCTCTCCTATTTCATAAACTTCACCCTCCCCAAGATTTGAAACCAAAGCCTCAATTGAATATCCCTAATTCTAACCTTTAGAAGCCTTTAGCTCATTGGATGCATGGTAAATATTCCAACTAAGGTAAAGGTAAAACATCCTTTCATTAAGCAACGTAAGCAACAGCAAATTAGACTCAGGGCCAATAACAATTGGAGTTTCGATGCTAAACAAGCAACATTGTTTCATGGAATGCAAATAGCATTGCTTTATAAGTAAATAGAGAATGAAATATGGATCAACCAAAGAGAACTTCAAAATTACATGTGGAGTGGGCATATATCAAAGAGTTAATATCAGGCAATTGATGAATGAATACTTGGTACATGAATGAACCCCTTGAAGATGGGAAACACTCTACAGTATTTCCGAGCTCATTATAATTAACTAATATATTTAAAAGAAAAGGAAATTACCACAGGCGTATTGCCAAAGAAATGATCGGTCCCGTTGCCATTCAAAGAAACTGAAATTATGCAGATAACTATATTTAGAACATAAAAACCCACTACAACCTATAGGGTAAAATGAATATAAAATTTCAAATCTGAAAGAATACCATCATCCTCTACTACATCTGAAGCAAGACTTGATGGGGATATTTGACTCATGCTTTCATTAGAATTTGAAGCAAGATCAACTGGTTCATTCTGCAAATATTAAAACAATCTAAGCGCAAGCCAGAATATAAATATCTGAATTCAAAATGTAGTTTAGGAAAACTTGAAAAGTACAGTTAATGGAGAATTAGAAAGGGCACAGTTTAATTGTCTATTCCCAGGTGAAGGTACTTCAGCACATGAATCTCCCAAATCCAATTCAGAACAGCTACTTCTATGCTCATGGCTATCTTTTTCTAAGTCTGCCTGTTGTTCAGAACGAGTAGACTTTGAATCTGGGGAAGCATCCGGCTCAGCATTTCCTTCCTTTATGACAAATTCCTTTTCACTACCCAGTGGGACAGCTGGAGTAGCACCATCACAACTACAATTGCCATCAATTGCATCAACATCTACCCAAGGAATGTTGTCCATTTCCTTTCTCTGAATAGCAGCACCATGGGCAACTTGAAGCAAACGTAAAGAATTACTATCAGAAAAGCAGAGCAATAAATGAATATAGAGCATCCACCCATCTTATTCTACAGTTATCCTGTACTGTAATACAAATTTGGGAACGAATGTTTCATATGATATTACAAATTTAACCATCCCAAACTCAACAACCATTGCCAGACACGCAGAATACAAGTCATACTATCTAATCCCATTCCCACTTGCACAAGTACAAAGAAAGAAAGAATACCGACAACAACAACAGCAACCACAAAATCCATGCGAATTGCATGTAGCATATCAAACTACTGCAGTAAGGAAATGGTAAACCCAAACCTAAGCAATCCAAACAGGATTATATGTTTTCGTGCTAGTGAAAGACCGTTTGTTAGACACAAATAAAGCCTACCAAGCACATTTGATTAAACAATCCATAAACTTGTAATTCACCATATTTCCACAACTTGGATCACAATTACTCGATAAGAGATTACAACTAAATAATCAATCTACTAATAGCCACCAACTCATTAACATTCACTTTACTTCCTCAAATGTGAATGCATATCTCTAACATTCACTAAATTATGGAATTCCAAATCCCAAGGGTGACTGAAAAATGTTTCCTATAACCCCAATGCTTAACCACAGCAAACAACTGAGAACACAATTTTACTTGGTACATATCAAATTCATACAATTAATCACTATGATTCAATAATTCCATATTCATTATCCTAACCCTACTAAAAAGGAAAGGGTTTAGGGAGTTTAAATCAGACAGAAAATTCTATCGTTTTCTAGCGGCTTTTTTCAGTGTCTAAACAAATTTATTTTAAAAAATGAAAATAGTAGAAAATAAAAGAGGAAACACCTTTTTTTAGAAACGTACCACATTCGAGAAACTGATATTTAAGACTTGCGGAGTCATCGAAATTAGGGTTTTTCAATTTGCTCAAGTATTTATCAGCTACCAATTCCGAAATCTCGTCTTCCTCTTTGAAGTCGAACACCTCGAGACCGTTCTTCATCGGTGCGTGGGACGATTTTAGGCTGGGTTGGAGGAACCAGTTGGAAACTCAGTGAGTCAGAAATAGAAACTCAGTTAGTAAAGGTAGAGGAGAATTGCCCGCAACCTTCCGAGACGGGGAGAAAGCGCACTGCCCTAATTTCTATGAGCCAATTAGAGGGTAAGAAACCAGCTCGAGTGGGGAAAAATATTGGAAACGTGTTGGCTCGGGGATAATTACCTGACGCTCAAGTTTGGGGACTGGATAACACGAATCAATCAGGTGAGAGAAATAGTTCCTGAACGCTTTTCTTTGCGCGTAGGGTTTGGTTTACAGTAGTTTAATCAGACAAGGAAAAGGGGTTTATTGGACGTTGACCCCTTCTAATTGTGCCAATTTTCTAAATTGCCCCACAACCTTTTTCTTTAACCAGCTAATTGAAATACGGTCTAATAGCAATAAATTTGTTATTATTTTATACTCGTGATCTTAAATCATTCTTAACAGGTAGTTTTCTCTCATGATAAGTTTCATTCCATTTTTTATTTCAAAATTTAAATTCAAATTAAATTTATAATTGAAATTCTAAATTTTTAATCATTGAAATATTTCTTTAAAAATAGTAATTAATTTATAATGACTAACTTTAAAATTATGCATATGTTTTATTTCGTCAATAATTTTATTTTAAAAAATTATTAATCTCATTTTATGAAATATAAAAAATTGTGTTAATGTATGAAATACTAATCTATCTTAATCATAACTTAATTATGAGATAGTTGTCAAAGCATTTCTAATAAAATTGGTGATTTGAGGAAAAAAATAAATTATTTCTTTAAAAAAGATAGATCAAATATATAATGGTAAAAAATATTTTCTTTTGATAAAAAAATGCATAATAGCTAACATAGCAAGTCATTAAATGATAATAATATAGTAATCATTTGTAGATAATCATTTCATTAACATATAATACATTTAAATATATAGTTTAAATAAGATTTTGAAAAATACATCAATCATATACATAAATATTAGATGATTCTATTACATAATTTATACAATTTTCACATACATTTTGTGAACATAATTCCTTTTGAAATAATTTATGAAAAAGCTTTTACTGGAAAAAAAAAAACTAAATATTTAAATTGATTTTGCTAGACATTTGATTTGTAATTTCAAAAATCAAAATTATGAGTCATCAAAACCAATATAAATTAATTAATCGAAGAACCAATAAAGATAAACTCTTAATTTTATTTGATAAGATTGAAAGCCTAAATCCACATATGGTAATTTATACTTTTCCACTAATATATATGGGGGAAATTACATGGATCACAATACAAAAGCTAAAAATGAAATTAAAAAAAAAAAAAAGCCAACAATTTGTAATTTTGTCAATCCATGCAAAGTACCTAGCAAATAACACACAATAAAATTCCTTTTCCTTGATTGATTACCCAAAAGGAAAAGAAAATGAAAGGAAAAACAAAACAAAATAATTCTAAGATTTACTTAAATCTCATTTTTTACATCAAGATTGCATAACACATGATGTCACTAATCATCAAATGATTCATCTATGAAATTTGAGCAAATTCACTTTACACCAAAACTCCATCAGCTCCATTAACATGGGATTAAGAGAAACAAGAAACTAAAGACCACAATTCCTAAATAGATTGATCAAGATTTTCAGGTAATTTCCTCTAAGTTTTTTAAGTGGGTTTTCTAAACAAAGATTGATAAATAAAAATCAAGAGAAGGCAAACATTGGCCAAAAGTAGCCACGATAGTGGAAAAGAGAGTGGCAACACCGCTAATAGAGAAAGAAAGAGGATGACAGAATGGTGAAAGGCATCGTTGAAGAAAGAAGGAAAGAAAAAAAGATAAAACAGAAATTGAGTGTTTTCAAACCCTTAAAACATTTAACAATAGAAATTCATATAACCCTTCATATCATTACGGTAAATACAACAAACAACTGTAAAATAATTTTTTATGACCCAAATTTAAACTTAAATTTTTTAAAAAACTTTAAAAATGTATACAGAAAAATACAGGCAAGGTATTGCTTTTATAGTAGGTAAAGATACCAATATAAATGATAATGATAAAAAATAGTTTGGATAAAAAAAAAAAAAACTAAAGTGTTGGATTATTATAAGATTTTGTTAAGGAATTTTTTTTATATAAAAAAAAATCCTAACCATAAATAAGGTTAATAATACTTTTTTGTTAACGAGTATTTTTAAACAATTTTTAAAACAAAATAAAATATTATTATAGTAATATTTTTGTATTAAATGACACAATTTTAATATGATAAATTTAATTCATTGATAAAAAAATAGGCGAGTTTCATTCATTTTTCATCTTGTCACCAACATTTAATCCTACAATATACTAGTATTTTACTACCATCGATCGTGTAGTTTTGCTAATTTTATATAGCATTCTTAAGCTGTTGCATATGTTCGAGATATATATATATATATATATATATATATAGAGAGAGAGAGAGATAAGAGATTTTTGTATATTCTCTTTGAATTAGTTTAAATGAACTTATTTAATTGAATTTAATAAATTTATAAATAATTATTTTCTCTCTCTCAATAAATTCAAGTACTTTAAAATATGTTTGACTTTTTTTTTCATATATACAAGTATTTTTTCCTATAATATAGAGATTAACTTGCCTAAAAAATTTTAAATTTTTTTAATTATTGATTTTAATAAATCTATGAGATAAAATTAATCAATTTTTTTCTTTTTATTTGACTCTCGTTTTTTTAGATTTATTGAAATAAATAGCTAAAAAAATGTGTAAAATTTTTAATTTTACATGAATGTAAGTTGATTCATTCATTATATATATTTATATAAATTTATCTTCATAAAATATATAGTTTTTTTTTTTATAAAAAAAGTAATATATATTTATTTATTTATCATATGATCCACCTTGTATAAGATGTCAATTAGGCATTACCTTATATTGTAAAAGTAATATGTTTTTGTTAGAAGTACTTGGTGATTAAAAAGGTATAGTGATTTTTTTTTCCATCTTATAAGCCTTCAGTAGATAACTAAAAGTATTTCTGTCATTTATGTCGACTTGACATGTTCAGTATCACATAAGCTTGACACTATCTTTATTATCCCCTAATGATCCTTTGTTACTCACCTATAAATATGAAGGTCTAGACACCATTAAAGTAAGTTGATAATAGTCCCATTTCCTCATTTCTACTTCCTTTCCAACCTCATTCTATCTTACTTGTATGTTGGAGTACAAATGCAAAGCACATACTTTGCCTTTACCTCATACCGTCATTCTCTTATGTTTCTCTAAGAATGCCCTGGAGGTTGGCACAAATAGTTTTATTTTTATTTTAATTAAAAACTTTAAAAAATAACATTTGAAATACCCATCATACAAAAATAGCAAGAATTTCAAAGTTTTTTTCCTCAATTAAGATAGTTTAAATTCTTAATTCTAAAAAATAAGATACATTTAAACTTTATTCTTAAACAAAGATATTTTGGTTTAATTAGATTCCATGTCAACATTATACTCCATGTCATTAAGCCAAAGTAATTTGTCATTTCTTTCCTGCAACATCAACCAAGAAACAATAAAATTTGTTGCAAATCTTATTGCAGAGAAATGAACTGATGATCTATTAACCTATTTTAGATTTGACAATTCGTGTATTTATGTCATATAAAATATTAAAATTTATATATTCGTATTATATTTTATATAAAAATTATGTATAATAATTTATATCAATATAAAAATATAAAATATAAATTTTTTTATTTTATTAAATACATATATAATTATTACTATAATTTTAAATTCTATCATTTTTATATTTTATTTTCGAATCCTATTTATTTTGTGTTTTAAATTAGTAAAATCTGCCCTCTCTCACACAATCACGTGGGAAGAAGCTTTTAAAGTGGATATGAACATGGCGGCCACCTCTCATGCCTTTCCTTTCATTGAACAAGTTGTCCTTTCCATTATCTTTAATGTCTCCAATCCATTGGCATTGGCTTATCAAATCTACTTCCCACGGATGCATAGCAAAATCACATCATCAGTTTCAAAAAATAAAAATTAAAAATTTCTTATGAAATCACAAATCTTATTTGTCATTCTCCTTTAAAAAAAAAAAAAAAACTCTTCGATTTTTATTTTGAGATATTTTTCTCCTTATTTTTTGGGTTTTAAATTTGGATTTCTTCTTCTTTCCCTTCAATTTGAAATCGTACGATTTTTCTTTTTATTTTGAAAATCTTAAAAGATGAAGCTAGCGAAATAAAATGTTTTGGTTGCTTTTTAGTTGAGATTGCAGGGAAGAGAAAGACTTGAAAGAAGGATATGCTTACATGGAATAAAATGCTGACATGGAACAAATAAATATTATTTTATTTTTTAATATTAAAAAAATTATGTCCTGATCATATTATCCAGAAACGAAAGGAAGGTAGATACATAGATTACTAGTTATTATCAATTAATAAACAGAACCGTAGAACCCTAGTGTCCTAGCAGCACACAAGTTAAAAACTTGTTTTCTTCAGAATAAGTTGGAAAAAAACATCCAAATTAAAAGGGTAATAACAGTGCTACCCACAACAAGGTTTAAAGCAATTCAAGATAAATCACCAACTTCCAATATTATATTATATGTTTCAATTTGCATTTCACCTAACACATATGACAGGAACATATCTTGCAAGTGTTCAGCTTTATTTCTTGCAAGAATTTACTTCATCTCCTCTCATGTGTTCCAGCTAAGAGAAGGGAAGCCTGCAAAAGAGTAGGCACCAAAATTTGATCAAACATGTCCAGTAGTGCACCGATGTTGATTATTCTATCAAAAGAGACCTCTATCACCATTTTTAACTGGTTAAAAAACCTTGAATTTCAAGTGTGTGATTAAAAGCCGCGATTAGCCACTGACTCTTACCTTTTATCCTTGTATTAACGTGAAGAATGACCCTTAGATTATATTGAAATATTTAATTCAGTACTTGAAATATGAATTTGTAACTAATATGATAGCAGTTCTAACATGATTAGTTCTAAATAATGATACGTAACGAACAAATAACTTTTGAAATATTACATTATTACCATTTTATAATTCAGATATAATATTGAATATTTCACTATAATTCAATGACCGTTCGTAACATTACCGCTTAATCTTTCAAACATTAACGTTCAAGATTTGGAAGAATGCGTGTATAGAAAATTTTTAGCTTACCCTAATTTGAGAGAAGTATCTGAGCTATCATCTTCCACTGGAGGGCCGCTGCTGAAGCTACAAACATTAGTGACAGACTCTGATGACATGCCTTCTTCCTGAACTCCAACATCTGAATATGCTAAGACAGGTCTTTTTCCCTTACACAATGACACCAGCTGAAAAACCCAAAATCCTAGGTCAAATTTTTTATAGTTTGATAATTGTATGAACAGCAGCATAACATTTTTGGAAACTACTACACTTACTTTCATTTTAAGTTGCTTATTTTCTTCCAGCAACTGTGCTCCCTGCATTATTATCAAGTGCAAATTAAGCAAACAAAAAAGAAAACAAGGATATAAAAATGAATTTTCTTAATAATTTTCATGGTTGTTTGCATGGAAGATGACACTTGTTTTAACATGCATATTGTTGGCTTGGCTTGTAGTCATAGATATTTCCATTGCTTACTAACCCTTTTTTCAAGTGAAGAGATCTCATTCATAATACGTTCACCCTGGAAAAAAATGAAATAAGATTCTTGTTATAATGGACAAAATCAAAATCAAGCATTTGCGTTGCAGCTTAAGCAACATGTATAAACCTTAGTCTCGAGAATGCGTGTAAGTCCTGATTCAAGCATTTTCTCTAGTTGCTGCAATTGATCTATGTTCAATCCTTGAAGATCTTCTCCTCTCATCTGCCTGTTATAAAGTGGTCATGTGTCAATGTAATCATAAATGTCTAATTTCCTTCAGCAGCAGTCATATTAAGGAAACAAATTATTGATCATTATTCTTACCTTAGTTGAAGGCTCTTATCAGCAATTTCTTTGCTCAATCCTACGTGATTACTGTTTTCCAGCTGTATTTAAAAATGGCACACTCTGATTAAAAGCTATATTTCCAAGTTGCAAGACTTCAAAATACCAAAAGAAAGCATTGGCAATTGTGTTTTCTGAAGCCTTTTCAATCTACAAATTCCATCTTTTCAGATGAAATTATCAACAGAAAGAAAATTGGAAAAAAAAAAGTATTCTACATACATAAAATTAATGGAAGAACTCAAGGAACAATGTTGTTTTACATATAATGAAGGGGGATCGCAAGCTATGCATAGGAAATAAACTGAACATGTAAATATATGTTTGAAATGCAATTCAAGAGGCTGAAGCATGTTTCTCCTAGAAATATTCAACATATCCTAAAGGACACTTCAGAAATTATGATAACAAAATGATTTAGAAGGTTAAAAACAACTTGTATACCTGCAGTTGAAGAGTTGGTTGATCCAATTTGCTGAGATTGTTGGATTGCAGATTATACCTTCCCAATATATCCCTCATGCTTCATGGAGGAAAAAAATGATAAAATTACTTAGATGACATTATTCTTCAGGTGAAAAACCTGAAGCATGACATTATAAATATTGAATTCAATTACAAGGTGCATCAAACAAGGAAAGGTTTAAAAGGAATTCTTCTTCAGCAAAACTATCTATATTTCCAATATAGTTTCACCTGACACGAAACGATATGTTAAAGAATGTTCACCATACAGTAAGTCTATAGATGCTAGGGACAAAGTCTAAACAGTTACTGCAACAATCATCGATAAGCAAATTGTATCCAAAAAATGACATTATAACAGTGGAATCTCATTTTCTGCATTTAACGAATTAGTGTGTGATGTTCACTTAAACAGTTAACCAACACTCATAATTGAGACTGGAGACCATGGAGAAGACAATAGATGCACTGCTAGAAAAAATAAATATACTATAATGTTGAATTCAGACCAAGTAGCACGGAAATTAAATACACAAGGCATTCAATCTAAAATTAGGGAGTAGAAAAACCAAGTAATTGAGCTCAAGCTCTGGCTGAGATTTCATATATCAATTCATTCAGAAATACATTACCCTTTGGAATGAGCTGAATGCAAAAGCAGAAACTTAACTTAGCTAGGCTCATTCAACATGATACATCAAAATTCCCAGTTTTCCTACATTGCCTCTAAAGAACAAAGGCCATTCAAATATGATAAACTGAGGGAGAACACATCATAAAGGTCAATTTTTGAGACGTAAGGACATGTGTTTGCATTGACCAACAAGCACCAGCCATCTCTTAGAAGAATTATCTAGGAAAACTCATTAATTGATATATGTAAATTGTAAAATTATTATATATCAAGTCATAGAATATTATGTATTTCAAACAATTTGACCCTATTAATTTATATGCAAAACTTTTTCGTATGATTATCAATATTCTGCTCTTTGCATAACATAAGAAACCATTTGGAAAATTATTTGGGATTATAATATTGAAATCAAAAGTACAATTTGATTTTTTTTTTTGTATTTGTAGGTCCGAATTAATCACTAGAACTAAAAACTCAACAATTTACAGACAAATCAAATGATTATTAACACAATTTGATACTCTATTAAAATATTCTAGAACATTTATCCAAAACATTTATCATACCGTATAAATTTAAAAATCTATAGCTAGACTTAACAAGAAAAATTACCATTATTTTTTTTTACAGTGTAATTAGTCCCCTAATGAATATATTCTTTTAAAAGCTCTTAAGCTTGATTAAAAGTCCTTAAAGAATAAATTCTGACCTTCTGATCAGAACTAAGTTCAGGAATTCAATTACGTGTAAAAAAAGTTATGACACCCCAACAACACCCATCCTAAGATGGTACCATTTAATTTTGAATTATCCTAATAATTATCTTGATTTCAATGATTTTTATTTTAATGTTTAAATATTGAAAATAACTTCTAAGATTTTTCCATTAATCTGAAAGAATCCTTAAAATTACTTCCTCACATCAACAGTATTCACGAATTCTATTTGTTTTCTTGGAGAGCCTCGTTGTCAAAAAAACTTAATTAATTTTTGTTTATCTAAAATATATCTAATTTTTTTTCATTTGGGCTTAAATTAGAAATAATTTATCATCTAAAAAATTTTTAGACAAACATCCATTTGTGATTACTAAAAATTTCATCTTCGAAATTTATTTTACAATTTTATTTTTATTTTTAAATTTTTTCACCATTTGGATTTATTTAGAAAAGTTTTTAAAAGTTTTATTTCTAAATTTTTCACCATTTGAGTCAATTTAGAATTTAAAATATTGTTAATTTCCTAATCCTTAGAAAAAAAAAATGACAATTATTTTTTAAAGTCTCATTTAAATTCTTCCACAATTTGGGTTGAATTTAAAGAAAATTTTTATCTAAAGATTTCTTAAAAAATTTATCATTTAAAATTTTTAAAATTCTCATCATTTGGTAATTGTCAAATATTTTTTCCCCACATTTTTAAGTTTTATTTTTTTATAATTTTATTATTTTTAATTATTATTTGCACACAAAAATAATTACTTTTATTAAAATTTTATCTAAATTATTTTAAAATTTGAGTAAAATTTAAAAAAATTTCTCACTTATAAATTTATTAAAAAATTTACTATTTAAAATTTCTAAGAATTTAATCATTGAGTAATTAGCATTTTAATTCTAAAATTTAATTCAAATTTGTTTTTTTTATTCTTTTTACAAATTAAAAATAAATGTTAATTATTATTATTAAAATTTTATCTAAATTCTCCTCAATTTAAGTCAAATTTAAAAAAAAAAATTCACCTAAGAATTGTATAGAAATTAAACTTTTACAATTTCTAAAAATTTTATCATTAGTAATTATTATTTATTCTAAAAAATATTAATGTTTATTTTGTTTTATATTATTTTTTCCTCTCTAATTTTTCCTAAAATTAATCATGCAAAATACTTTAAAAATAAATAAATAAGATAAAATAAGAACTGATTCAGCTTTAACAGCTAGAAGGCTTAGCTAGAGGAACAAATGAACTAAAATGGCTCAATCGATACTCGACTTGACTAAAAAATTGGCTTAACTTTGCGGGTCGCGAATTGAGTCACACCTGGGCGTGGGTCAGGCACGAGAAAAAAACGGATCCTATAAAAATTGATATGCAAAACACCACGTTGTTTAAGCGAATGTATAAAATGGCCAAAATTCTTCTTTTCCTTATAATCTTCTTACACTCTCTTTACTTAATTTTTTTCTTTCCCTCTCTCTCTACAAACTATGAACAATCGAATGAACATATACTGGTTTTTGGAATTGGTAGCTGAAAACTGGGTATCTTCATCAGTTTTAGATTTTTTGCCAGAATACCACTGAAAAATTCAATTTTCATTGAAATCTTCAACTAAATTCTGGAAGACTCGTCAAAAAGTTCAAACTTCACTGAAATATCATCGAAAAATGAAAAAGTTCATCGAAATCTAAAAATTTAGATTTTTTCAAAAAAACCTCTTAAAAAAAATCACTACTTTGTTCTTTGATTTTTGCATATGCCTTTTTTTTGTTGATCTCTCTATGTGTTCTACTACTTGTTTTGGGTTTGTATTTATAAGGTTCAAATCAAGAGAACTTTATATCAAACAGAGTTTCAATTTTCCTTTAACTTTTTTCAAATTTTAAGTTCAACTCTAACTTTATGATCCAAGCAAACAGTTTCATACAAACTCAACCACCTTTTTTTTTTAGTTATTTATTTATTTAACAAAAACAAATTAAACAATTACAAACCCAAATAAATTGAAATGTCTACAGTTGCTCCTCTTTGCGTACTTTTTGAGAACTAAGAATTGTGTAAAGACGTATACAATCCAAATAAGAATCAACTCGACATTTTTTTTTAAGAAAAGGATACGTAAGATGTCTTGAATAGCATAATAGCTTTTTTAAACAGAGATTTAACACTTTGAAAAATATAAAAACTCCTTTCAACAGAGGCTCAACAACTTTTGACAAATATATAAGCTTCTTTAAACAAAGGCTCAACTTTTGAAAAATAAATATGATCTCCTCTAAATAGAGGCTCAATGACTTTTGAAAATTAAATAAGATTCTTCTACACAGAAGTTTAATGATTTAAAAAAAAAACTCCTATAAATAAAGGTTTAGAGGTCTTATAGATTGTGTTTGAACTCCAAAGATTCACAATTTGAAATATTCAAGAACTTAGTAACCTGAAAATTAGTAATCCAAGTTGTAACTTAAAGATTCACAATTTGAGTTCAAAGAATCACCATTTTGAAAATCAAAGGTTCGTAATTCAAAAATTTACAAGACTTTCAAATTCGAAAGAATTCAAATTCGTAATATTTTCAAATTCATAGGATTTTTCAGATCCGCAAGTATTTCATATTCGTAAGCATTTCAAATTTGCAAGCACATTAGATTCGTAAAAATTCATATATGCATTTGAGATATTCACATCCAAAGTTCAATTTAAGGATTTGCATCAAAATTGCAAGATTCACATTAACATCTATAGATTCACATTCGAATTCTAAAGATTTACATCCAAAAGTTAAAGATTTTTTATTTGAAAAACTTTAAGGATTGACTTCCAAGAATTTAAAGTTTTGTGTTTTACATTCGATAATTCTCATTTAAAAACTTCAGAATTTCGTCCAAAATTTTAAAGCTTCTTATTCGAGTTCAAAGATTTACATTCGATAAATTTTAAGAGTTTCACATCTAAATTCAAAGGTTCTCATTCAAAAAATTTTAGAGGTTCACATTCAAAATTTCAAACTTCTTATTCGAGTTCAAATATTCACATCTGATAGATTTTAGAGTTTCACATCTAAATTCAAAGGTTCTCATTCAAAAAATTTAAGAGTTTACTTCCAAAATTTCAAAGTTTCTCATTAAGTTTAAAATTTCACATTTGATAAATTTTAGAGTTTCACATCTAAATTTACATGTTCTTATTTAAAACTCAAAGATTATCATCGTTTTTAACATTAAAAAATGCTCTTCTAAAAGGCTTCACAACTTCAGAATTCTAAATGTTTTTCTTATAAAACATTTTTCCATTCGAGAATTCCCAACCTTATCTTCAAAAGCTTTCCTCAAAAAGTTTAAAATTTTTTGTCATGAAAATTCTCAATTTTTCATTAAAGTCAAGATTTTGTATGTAATAAATGTCATGATCATGAGGCAAATGTTTTCTTAATGATGCAAATGCAATAGTCTAAATTCTTACAATAATGCAAATGCCATACTTTAAACCATGAGTCAAATGTTCACTGTATGATGCGAATGCATGATCAAACCAAAGTTTTAAATATTTACCAAATTATGTACATCTATTGTTCAAACAACAATGCAAACGTAATGCATGTAATGCAAATATCACTAACATTAATATCATGAAATTCTAATTAATTGTGATAATATGATTCTTAAGAGTCCACCATCTTATTTTTTCTCTTTTTAGC